ATGTGTCAGAATTTTGCTCCTTTTCAAGACTAAATAATATTCCATTGTATGTATACCACATTTTGTTTATCCATTCATCTGTCAATGGACACTTGTGTTGCTTCCACCTTTTGGCTATTGTGAGTAATGCTGCTATTTCAGGTTACATTTTCTTTGATCCCCGCAACTGTTTGGTGACTTAGAGGTTATTAGTCTCATAACACAGGTGGGGACACAGGCTCAAAGGACCGAAGCTCCTGGCTTGAGACAACATAGTCAGCACAAGTGCTGAAACAGTGGTTCTCAACCTTCCTAATGCTGTGACCCTTTAATACAGTTCCTCATGTTGTGGTGACCCCCAACCATAAATTATTTTCTTTGCTACTTCATAACTATAATTTTGCTACTGTTATGAATGTAAATATCTGATATTAGGTGACTGCAACCCACCAGTTGAGACCCACTGTGCTAAAGAGTGAAGGGTCCAGGAAAGACTCTCATTTTAGTGACGTCCCAGAGAAAATGGCCTGTCTTGTCTAAGCAGAAGCTTCAGGGTAGCTAGAAGGGGTGTGGCCATCAACTGCAGAGGAAAAAAGAGGAATGCTGGTGAGACTAGAATTCTCAATTCATTCCTACTGAGATATCCTATCATTTTTGTTTTTTTTACCTATAACTTAAAATAGAACATCATTGGAACTTGCTGCTTATTAGAGATTTAGGAAACCTAAAATCACTCCATTCTTTGAAATTTTCAGCTCTGTTTTTAAAAGAGAATTTTTGCTCAGCAAAAGTTGTCAGTCAATATCTAATGTCTGCATTGTACTATTGTACTCAGATTTGATTCCAGGCACGTCAACAGACCCCAAAAGCAGAATTGACATGGAGTAAAAACAAAATAAAAAAATCAAAGAAGAGAACTATATCTGATCTCAGAAAATGACTTTGCTTCACATCACTGCAGACTCTGTTGTTACATTGATTAAACTGTCTTTGGGAGGGGTAGAAAAGAATATGGGTCTCAGTGCTGACTCTGCTATTTACTAGTTAGGTTTCCATTTCTCTAAGCTTCAGTTTACTCATCTGTAATAACCAATAGATTTCTAACTTAAATTTCAACGCATGAAAATAGGATGTGTGTGGCTCAGGAAGTCAGAGATTGGTTTCCAGTTTGGAAGGACCACTTGAAGGATCTTAGAAATTGATAATGGTGTTGAGCAGACTGAACTTTGAAATACCCTGTTCTCTAATTTCCAGGACACACTGGGACTTGCAGTGGAAAGGAGGAATGAGGACATCAGTAGCATGTAGTTTGTCACCTCTGAATTGCCTTCTTCTGCATGCTGGAAAGAGAGAGAGAGGAAATAGACAATGTTGGTGAATTAAAATCTCTGACCTTCTGCAAAATATTAATACCAAGCCAGTGTTCAAAACTTCTTAAGGCTATGGAAAACAAGGAAAGATTGAGAAACTAAGGGGAAATACTCACTAAATGCAATGCGGTACCCTGGATTAGATCCTGGAACAGTTAAAAAAACGTAAAATCTGAGCTTTAATTAATAGTAATATACCAATATCAATCTCTTGGTTTTGTTAATGTACTATAGTTATATAAGATGTTAACATTAAAGGAAATAAAAAAAAAATTATCCAGGCATGTGACCTGTAGTTCTAGCTACTTGGGAGTCTGAGGAGAAAGGGTAACTTGAGCATAGGAGTTTGAGACGGCCGTGAGTTCTAACCAGGCCACTGCATTCAGCTTGGGTGAAAGATATAAGACCTTGTCTCCTATAAAACAAAAACCTTGTTTGTCTTTATAAAACAAAACAAA